GGCCCCGCCCCCCCGGGCGCCCGCCCGCTCGCCCGCGCCGGCGGCGCCCCCCGGGCCGCGCCGCCCGGCCCCCCGGCCCGGTCCCCCCCCCCCCCCCGCGGGGGGATGGAAGTTTGGCAGGGCGTTGGGTGGTGGGTGGTGGGTGTGCATGTACAAAGAGTCGGAGAAATCCATCTTTGCGATAGATTAAATAGATTTCGTATATAATAGAGGTACGGTGTCGGCGTGCGGGCTTTTTCAATGAAGAAGGCGCGAGATGGGTGTCTGTCTGCTGTTGTGTATTCCGTATAGCTTCGGAGGAAAGGTGGAAAGGAAAATACGATGCGGAGATGGGATGGGCCTTCGTCGTTCGTGCAGGCAGACAGGCAGACAGGCAGACGCTTTGTCGATAAAGAGGTAAGTAAGGTTAGGTAGATAGGTAGGTAAGTAGGTAGGTAGTTATTGGATTTGAGTGGTCGTAGGTTTTGCGTCAGGAGGCTGGAGTTAGTTTATTTTTTATTTTTATTTTTTTCCCCTACTTTCCCAGGTTGGCGGTCATGGCCTTTGATAGGAGAGCTTCCGGGGGCGTATGTTGTTGCAGCTTGCGTCTGCTAGCGTCGACAGGGGGCCCGGGCTGTTTAGGTCTTCCACCATCAGGGGTTGTCGTCATCTACACCAGCCACGTGTCCAAGCCGCATTGTCTGTGCACTAGCCACAGGTGATGGAAAAGGGGGGAGGGGAGTGGTACCTAGATACATACTCGGATGGTTATAAGTTTGTATTGAAGCCTCTTGAATGCTAGTCTTAACGCAGCACATTCAGCACATTAGACATGTCTTCGAGTGTAGATACGCTTGGTTCGAAAATTCTAGAAAACGCATAGACAGCTATTTACGAGACAAGATTCTAAGGTAAGATGAATCTGTAACTAAAAGCATGTGCGGTTCCTGAATCTTACTTACCAAGTTACTGTCATCCCGTCTTCCGTCTTCTTCACTCCCTTAATATTATTTATATTCTTGACTAGTATATTGTTCTTATTATTAGCCAAGTTACTCCATGCATTGATGTTTGTGTTCATATCTTACTAGTATAGGAATACTATTGCCACCAACGGGATACTTATAACAATTCTGCCGATTAAGCCCCTACTTAAGTCGAATGACCTCCAAGTAGCTCCGTGACCGTCAGAAAGGGTTTCCAGAAAGACCCAGCACAGAACTAGTAAAGTATACGAACGCTACCACGGTCGACGCTCTGTCATCGTCAACCGGAGATAGGTTACAGGAGCAGACAGAGAATCGGAATCAGGCGTTGGGGGATAAGTTTATTAGACTTTAACAGCGTCTTCATCTAGAACAAAGGATATGTTCAGTGTGTATAGGCACAGGCTCTCGTAGATAAATTAGAGTTCCTTGCGGAACAACGAAGTTATTTCCTTACTGTTTAGTTCCACCTCGTAACAGTCACTTATAGATGAGTGGCCCATTGCTAATGGCATAGCTTATTTTCATTAGTTATATAATAGTTCTCGTGTATCAAAACTTTACGCAACTAGTCAAATTCAAACACAGACCTTTTCGTTTGTTTGCATTTAGTCTATTTACTTTTATTCTATTCGAATAGTATAAATATCTAGGCTGCTCTCCTATAACTCCGTCTTCTGTCTTCACGATACTTGCTGCGTATCGAAAATTGACCTTCAAGTAAGTACTGCTCTAAAACAATTCACTACGAAAAGCATTGAAGTAAATAACGATAGTTATATTCTTAGAATTCCATCTGCAGTCCTTCAAACTTATATTTCCGAATACTCGTCCTCTTTTATCATCACGCTAAATTTCCTACGGTATCTACGCGGTCAATACATTCGTCATGCCTTGCAATTCCAACAGAAGCCCAGGGAGAAATCATAACCGAAATCACAACCAAACCCCTACGGAAAACCACGGGGGAAGCCCCCTAAACCCCCTAAACCGAAGTGCGAACATCGACGAGTCCCAGAATACCTCGGTATGGGTGTCCAACCTCCCAAAGGATTGTACCATACACCAGCTGCTCGCCCCTATAAGACAAGTTGGGAAGATATTCTTTGTTCATATCAACCCCCCCAACGAGACCTTCGCCACATCAGCAGCCAAGATCACCTTCTGGGATCGCCCATCAACCGAGAAGTTCCTCCGGCTTGTCAAAGACGGCAAGATAACCATCGGAGGACTCCAGCCAGCAGTCCGGATGAACCGCATCCGAGCAGCACCACAGCCAGCATCCAACCGCAGCCGGGTCCTCGTCCTCTGGGGCTCGCCTAGTGTAGTCGACATGAAGGTTCTGGAGCCCCTGTTCCGCTCGGAAATCGAGTTTGAAATCGACGAGGTCAAGGAGATGATGTGGTACGGAGAGAGAAGACTGGAAATCCGCTTCGGCTCTCATCGAGCACAGGCTAGTCGCGCAGAACAGATGATGCGAGTGTTAAAGGGGGGAAGAACGACTGAATACGCCGCCGCAAACCTGACGCCAGAGCAACGCATATTTCTGTGCCTTGTTAGGATATTATGGGGATCCGATCCCTGCGAGCTTCCATAGATATGCATATGCTCACGCCTTCACGCCTTTCTTCCGACTCAGAAACGACTGAGCCAGGAGATACGTATCTCCTGTTGCACATTCCACTATTCCTGGTATATAACCGAGCATGGTGGCCACCGGAGAATGCTTGTTACAACTATTATGACGTTTAGCATTGGCCTTTTCATCACTATACAACAACAACAACATCACCACGCTATCTTTACCGGCACAGCATAGCGACAGTGGTTAATTTTTTACATGTAAATTATGATACCCCGAGGGAGAGCAGGGCTTCACCGAAGCACCAACAGTCAATAGATATTGGCTAACAATAGCGGGAGCAGAAGCAGAAGCAAATTGGATTCTTTCGGGTGCAATCAACTCGGCGTTATAAGACTGACTGATATATGTGCTGGTGTTTTGGATGGGATACCTTATGGTTATTGTGTAATAAATTTGGTCAACACATTCAAACCGTTGTTTTGCGCGAATTCGCCTCGTGAGCCCGGATATAAATTATACAAGACTTACACATAGCGAACACCTATTTTCGTGTGAATGTGGGTTTCTAGTAGGTATGAGAAACATCTAGGCACACACTCCATGTATATTAAGGGATAGAACTCGAAAACCAAGTAGCTTAGAAACTAGTAGCCATACGTACTAAAATAACGCTTTGTTCTAGGTTAGGTTAGATATCTCGTCTAGAACGCCTTAGACTCCACTTACATCACCAACTTAAGACGCTAAAGAGACTAAACCGAAAACGAAGCAGAAGGGAAAAAGGAAAAAAGGAAAAAAACATACAACACTGGGGATTCGCTGGTCGTCACCGACCCAACTACTAGTCCAGCGGTATCCGGTTTATCAAGGGGAGAGCGGACGGGATCCCGAGTTTTCCAGATCCTATGGTCGTATGTGAAAGAATGGCGACTTGTTTGCATCTATATAGTTTAATACCTTGGCATGGCCTTAGAACAGCTAGGGCGCGCTTAAATAGCTATAGAGTTAAGATATACCACTTTACGATGGAATATTATAATTATGTTAACATCATGCATCCTTGGCTTTGTTCCGGCATCTTGGGATAACACTCTTAGCACTCCCCATTATTATACCTAGCCGCTACCACTAGACTTCTAGTCTCGGCACAGCGACCACAAAATCCAGCTGGCGAAGCATGCCGGGCCCTCCCTGAGAAGCAAAACCTTATAATCCCTTAGACGGGCGCATTAGAGCCGGCTAGCTCGACGTTGTAGATTACCGCCAAGCGTTCGTGGGTATTAAATTAACAGCCCTATGGCCGTTAATCGCGAGTAGTTTGCTCGAGAACCCATCCCCGTTGGAACTAGAGCGGCTTAAAGGGCTATAACGGGTTGTGCTATAAGGCCTGGTAGGGAGTCTGTAGGGGGCTGGCGGCTCGCTGCGATAATAAGAACATATAATAAGAACATGACCCAACTTCCGGCTGATGAACTCTAATGTGTTGCCGGTCATATGCTCAACTGTCGCTCCTCGCGGTTAGCCATGACGGTTACGAGCTCTACGACCAACGGCTCGGGTCCGAGAAGAGATGCCTCTACTCCATAACTGATGGATAGCACCCCATCGCTGCCGCCACCCAGACCACCTAATCATCTTAATACAATTTGATTATGTATATGTATCCCGTTAAAAAGGGACTTCGCGGACCAGAGACGCCTACCTGGAAACTTGGGCTGGGCGAATCCAACAAGGCGGCGGCGGCGGCGGCGGCGAGATTAAGTTGCAACACCATCCATCATCCATCATCCATCATCCATCCACCCAGCGAGTAGCAGTGCCGAGCCATTTTCTATGACCATTCGATCTCGACCCTGTTTCGTATTAGACCCAATACATACCTAACGCACGGCCACACGTTTGGGATAGAAACTCTATCTCGGGCCTGGCTTCTCTGCCGATGATGCTGCAATTAACTCGGGAGGGGTAGGGGTAGGGGGGGGACACGAGATCGGGATAGGCTTATTGCTGTTGCTGTTGCTGTTGCTGCTGTTGCTGCTGTTGCTGCTGTTGCTGCTGTTGCTGCTGTTGTTGTTGCAAAAAAAGAAAAGAAAAGAAAAGAAAAAACCACCCCTGACCCCTATTCCGTCTCCAGCACGATAGACTCCAGATCCAAACGCTACGAGGTCGCACGTTGTGGCGCACACAGCAGCCGGTCTAGGTTTCTATATCGTACGTGGAGGGTCGTAGGGTCGTAGGGAACCCGATATAAGGTGGCAGTCCCGATTACGGGATACGCGTATCTCGCATCTCGCACCTCTTTTTGCTCCTTTAGAACCAACCGCCCACCGAAGTTCGTTTAACAACTACACCTGTTTCTTCTTCCACGTCTTCTCCGCCATGATATCTCGACGCTCCGCCATACAAATGTAACGCCCTACGACCGCTAATCTGGCATCTCTCTCTCTCTCTCTCTCTCTCTATTTAGTGGTTGGGGCGTAAAGAGAGAACAACACCCGTAGACTGTAGTCGAGATATAGCTCGTGCTGTACTGTACCTCCTATTTCTCAAGGCTGTGCGTGTCCTCGGGGCTGAGGACGTCGCCGCTTTGCTTTGCTTTGCTTCGCTTCGCTTCGCCAATGCTTAGGAGAGACAAAGCTGCCATGGCCGGGAACTGGACAGCCCCGGCTCCCCATGGGTCTGGGTCTGGGTCTGGGGCAAGTCAAGTATGTCATGGGCCAAAATACTCCTGCTACTCCTGCTGCTCCTATTCTTAAGAACTCGCCAGCGCTAATAATAATAACCCAACTCCAGCTATCCAGGCCCCAGGGCCCGCCGTACCCGTTAACCATGGCCATCGTAGGCGGCGAGCCCACCCCCGCGGTCGACGACCCCATCGCCGTCGTCCTACTCCTGCTGTTCCTCCTCTCGGCGGCGGCGCACATGGCCATCCTGCGCATCAACAAGCAGCGCAACCTCAAGTTCGTCTTCTCGGGCATGTTGTTCGCGCTGTGTCTTCTCCGCAGCATCTCGCTCGTCGCCCGCATGATCTGGGCCTCGTACCCCAAGACCGTCGACGCCGTCATCGCCGCCAGCGTCATGACCCAGTGCGGCTCCGTGCTCATCTTCATCATCAACTTGTTCTTCGCCCAGCGTGTCCTCCGCGCCTATCATCCCCGCCTCGGCTGGCACCGCGGCACCTGCGGCTTCGTCTGGTTCCTCATCGCTTGCGTCATGTGCTGCCTCGCCATGGCCATCGTCGCTACTATCCACAGCTTCTTCACCCGGGACCCCCGTGCCCTCCACGCCGACCGCGCCGTCCAGCTCTTCGCCGGCTCGTATCTGGCCTTCTTGGCTTTTCTGCCCGTGCCCGTCGTCGGACTGGCAGCAGCAGCACAGCACGCGAGGCGCTTCCGCTTCCGCCGCGTTGAGAAGTTCGGCGCAGGTCGGTGGCGTGCCAAGGTCGGACTGCTAGTCTTCGCATCGCTCGTGGCCACCCTGGGCGCCGCATTTCGAGTAGGCGTCAACTTCGACGGTCGTCCTGGCTCCAAGCCGGCTTGGTTCCACAGTCGGGCTTGCTACTACGGCTTCAACTTCGTCACCGACCTCGTCGTGTCTACCGCATACCTACTAGCTCGTTTTGACCGCCGCTTCATCGTACCCGACGGCGCTCAGGGTCCCGGGGACTACTCCCCCATCATCCCATCCATGCACTCCACCTCCAACAGCAACCTCGTCGACAAGCTACCTATCATGGGCGCCAGTAGACACACAACCACGATGCGATCCCCCCTTATCCCGACGACCGCAACCCCCACTCCCACCCCTCCCCCCCAGTCCACCACGCCATCCCCATCCTCCTCGCAGTCGCGCCGCAACATCGGCACCACCGCATCCGCCTACCACACCGACTCGTCCAACACAGCCGTGCACACGAGCAGCAGCTTCGAGCGGAAGCAGCACTCCCTCTCCCCCACCCCCCTCCCCCTGCTCTTCCCACCTCAGCCCCAGCCCCAGCCCCAGTCCCAACCGCACCGACCCGCGCTCCGCACCCGCGGCCGCCGCGCCGTCATGCTGCGCATGCGCATCAACAGCGAAGCCGACGCGTACGGGCCCGACTGCGGCGGCGGCGACGAATCCGGGGACGCAAGGTCGACGTCGACGTCGCGGCTGCGCGCCCCGGACCCCGCACACCTGGGCCCGCCGATCCTGCCCGCGCTGGACCTGGACCTGGAGCTGCTGAGCGCGACGCTGCTGGCGCCGTGGGCGCTGGATAGCTGGGGTTTCCAGACGGCGACGTCCAGTCGGGGGTCGCGGAGCGGGTCGTTGAGGAGCGTGGGCGGGAACAGCAGTTGTAGTCATTACAGTGGAAGCGGAAGTAACAGCAACAGCAGCAGCAGCAGCAGCAGCAGCAGCAGCAGCAGCAGTAGTAGTAGTACAAGTAATAGTGTCAGTGGCAGCGATGGGAACAGCGAAAGTGGAAGCAGGGATATAGGCATAAGTGTTGGAAGCAGTGAGAGGAATAGTAGCGAGATGAGTATTAGGAGCAGCAGTGGTCGAAGTTATACTTCTAGTCGGCGATCGATGCGGGCGAGGACTCTGTAAGGTATTCTGCCGACTGGACGACTAAGCTGGAGGAGGGAAGCAGTTGCGGAGGGAGAGAGAGGAAGAAAGAAATATATTATATACTGGGAGCGAGAGAAGCATTGTTTTGTTACCAATATCACCGGCGTCAAGGAGCTGCTATAATAAGGGAAATACTGGTGGAGGAAATGTTGTTGTAGTTGTTGTTGTAGTTGCATAAAGACGAATTAGAAGTTGTGTGCATATGTATACTACTTAACAATACGATATTTAATGATTATACCTGAATAGTTGGTTTCTAGACGATGAGATTATCAAGTAAGGGTGATGGTGTCTACCTCAGATGCGACGAAGGAGGTTTAATTCCCACTTGGGATACTTATAGGGGCCCAATCATTAGTTATAATTACTTCTGTTACTCCTCTCTTGTATCTAATTCTTATCAACTGCAAAAAAGATCACGTCCGAGTAAAGTGAGCTCATCTCACAATCGAACCCAAAGTCTCTCTTTTCTTCATTCATGAAATACAATGTTTGGGTAGCTACTCTGCAGTGGGCTGCTCCATAATGTCTTGCCCACCAAAAATGGGCTCCAAATGTGGTATCGTAACTAGGGACGCGATAGTCCCGCGTCAGATCCCTTCCTTCGCTATACCAACCACATCGGCACCGGCCTGGTTAAGGCCGTCCGCGCTCGAGGTTGTTGACGGCCTACATGGTGGAAGATGCTACTTGTGGCGCGGGCATATTCGTACGTCGCCTTCTGACTTTCGGCATAGCAGGGGTATAGCGATCTAGGCTCAACGTAACTCCCGGACACCTTCAAACCTTGTACCCACGCTTGTCCAACGCGTGGCACCAAGATTTGCTGGACGCTTAGAGGAAGTAGTCTGGTGTGCCTATAATTGAAGTTAGTCTTGATGTCACTAACAAAAATAAATGGCCCGTGAAGCTTACGTCGGGAAACCATCGGCTCGCCAGCCCGCGGGCACGGGTCGAACTGTAAGCTGTACGAAGTGGTAAGCATATATTTCCAAGTCAAAGCTCCAACGTCTCGTCGAGCTTTAGTATAGACCACTTACAAGGTATACTTCAGATGTTCGTCGATTTCCATGATGGCTGCTTGGTTACCGCATCGGTAGCAGTAGTTAGGTGCTAGGGATAATTAGTAGACTACCCTCCAAGTACGAAATTATAGCGACTCACCAGAGAAGATGGTTACCACGTTTCTATCTTGCGACCAATTATATCCTTCCATAACCAGTTGGTGGGCTCGGGCAATCAAAGTCAGACCGTTGTTATGATTGAATGCTTCCGAAATATCCTGCCCAAAGGTGTAACCGGCGCCGCGAGGGCTAATACCCCAGCCGCATCGGTCATCCGGGTCAGACCAGAGCAGGTCGCACATGGGGCCCTCATGCGGAACTTCTTGGATTCGGTCAAGTGCTCTAATATTATCAAGGGTATCGATGCTAGGCGAGAGACCACCATGGAGACAAAAGATTTGGTTGTCGATAAGGGCAGTCAAAGGGAGGTAGTCGAAAAGATCGGTAAAGAATTTCCAAACGTTGGCGTTACCGTATTTCCGAAGACACTCGTCGTAGAAACCGTACACTTGGGTGATCTGGCGGGACTCGTGGTTACCGCGCAGGATGGTGATGCGTTGAGGGTATCGGATCTTAAGGGCAACTAGTAGCGTTACCGTCTCGACAGAGTAGTATCCTCGATCGACGTAGTCACCTGTACCAATAATTAATAACTATATTTTCCACATCCCTCGACCGGTTATTTAATATCGAATGACGTACCCATGAACAGGTAGTTGGTATCGGGGTTGGGACCGCCAATCTTGAATAGTTCCATCAAGTCATGAAATTGACCGTGGATGTCACCACAGACCGTCACCGGGCATTTCTACACAGATGTGAGCAGAAGCGGGTCAGCACAGAGTACAGAGCAACATACCACCGGCTGAACATTAGACTCGTCCTGCAGGACCTCCCTCGCCTAGAATACGACGATATTAGTACGGTATTTTATAGTGAGACATGACACAACTGCAGATGATATGCGATGGCTCACCTTCTCGCAGAGCCTCTGGACATCCGCTTCTGCAAGCTGCTTGCAGTTCATCAGGCCCTCGATCCAACCGTCTAGAGTGGGGATCGTCGTGGGCTCGGAGGGGGGCATCGGTGCCAATTCAGCAGGTACTCGCCCGACGTCTTCCATATTGGTATCCATGTTGATAGACGGGAGCCAAAGTCAGGTCGCACGATGGAAACTAGGGTATTCTATCCGTTTTATCTAGCGATAATATCGCGGGTTCTTTCGCGAGGCCCGAGCGAGAATCGTTGAATCGACAGAGTCAAGGGGACAGTTGACTCGGGATGACGTTTAGGGCACCGGTAACGGGAACGCAGCGCCTCTTGGTTGATGTGTATGATTTGGAGTGGGGTTTGGAAGGGTATCGTCGCGGGAGAAAGAGGAGAAGAACAAGAGTAAAAAAACAATACAAAGAGTAATTAATGGTAAACTCGCTCGATAATTCTTTTTGGAAGTTTAGTGGTCGTTCTTGAAGTTATCCTGTCGCCTGTCGCCTGTCGCGTGTCAATGGGATTGAAGGGGGTATGGTATTGTGATATTGTGGGAGTTGTCACGGGCGATTACAAAAGTAGGATTTTTCCCTGTTTGATGAATAGCACAGGATGACAGGATGGTATTACATAGAAGACCGCCCGGTTGGACCTTACAAAGGGATGTTAGGTACCAAAAAAGTACCTTATCAGCTTATTCAAGCGCTACAAGGGTAGGTAGCCACCATGTACCACGTACCTCCGCATTGTGTACTTGAATGTAGGTACGTCAGTTGCCACTTAAATTGCGGCTCTTTTCTCACCCCACCCCCTCAACCCCTTACGCCCCCCTATATGCCCTATATGCCCTACAATGCCTTATGCCTTATATTTGTAGGTAGCCTTATAAGGCCGCAATTATGTACTATCTACTATGTATGTACTAGTCAAGCATCTAATAGTTACACCCCCCTATTAAATGATTTCTTCCTAATTTATGTATGTGTATATGTATATACCTATGTATACATGTATAGATCGCATTCAATAATACTACAAGATCGATCGGGATTATGTTCAAGGTGCGCGGGAGTTGCCTTTGAGAGCGAGACTAAGCGCAAGGTTACTTCATCTAGTAATACATCAGGACCTACGCCAACCCAAGCCCGACGGGACTGTTAGCTTTCGCGCCCTGAGGTTCTCTGCCCACTAGATCTCCAAAGTCCAACTGCACTTCCGAGAGCATCTCGGCATGGATTTTGGCTCTCTCCATACACTGTTTCCATACGACACCATCCCTCTCCGTGCTGCTCAGCTGCCTGGCTAGAATTACGTTGAAAGCGTCTACTACTTCCTTGGCCCATTTCACACAAGCGCTCATCATCGTCTGGGGGAAGCAACTTTGGAAGCAGCTTACGGTGTTTTTGATTATGCTGAAATAGACGAATGAGAGTTGCCAGATGTAGAGGTGAAGGTCGCCTTGGAAGATGCATTGTCTATGTCCAGTTAGTATATGAAAAACGTCTTTGGCACCTTCTAGAAACCTACCTTGAACGCTTCTGGATTAGGTCACCACGAGCCTTGAGATATGCATCTCGGGCGCGATCCTCGAATCCTAGCCTATTAAGCCATTCGACGTTACGTTTCGTTTTAAGCGGCTGGCTATGCGAGTCGACAACTTCTCGTATAATCAGACCACCTAGCTTTGTGCATCTCTCCTCAATTTTAAAGTCGATAAAGTCTTGCGCAATAATATTATTCTTCAACCCGCGAGAAAGCTTCTGCATCCTTTCGACGCGATCGACTGCCAGATCAAACTTCTGAAGGGCGATGTCGATGTCGAGCTCGTCCATCTGACCCTCCACCCAGCGGAGATTTTGCTGTTTCCCATCCACCTCGATTAGCATGTCCTTAATGTCAGAAAGCGTCTCGAGTAGCTCCGTTTTCTGTAGTAAACCTGGATCTCGGGAAGCGAAGTAATTAATGGTCTCTTTGGCCTTGTTATTCGCTTCCATCTCGGACTGTAGGTTTTTTCGTAATTCCTCCACCGCCTTTCGAATGTTTAATATTAAGGCCGATTTCTCGGGATCTTCTTGCTTTTCTGTTCTATAGATGAACGATTCCTGGCCAACGCCTCGAACCATGATGGCATCCGCTAATTTATTCCTGCCGCTAAACGATTCGGTGGTTGCTGCCATGTCCACAATCTCGACATCCAGAAGCGGCCAACAGCGATCCGCAACTAACTTAGTCGCTGGGCCACGCGTGTCGTTCGGGTTGTCCGTCTTACGTTTTTTCCGCGATGCGACAAGAAGGTGATCGTTAAGGAGAAATATTTGCATGGATCGCCTTGACTTGTACGTCGCATTGTCGAGCTCAATCCAAGGTCCGGCATCCTGGATAACATGCCTCCCCATCGAATTGGGTAGGAATTTCTGAGAACCTTCGACATTCTTGTAGAGAACTTGCATTTGAGTATTCCAAAGGACTGTTCTATCCGCCACCGAGCTGCGTCTATCTTTCTTACTTAAGCCAGTCGAGAACTCTCCATTCATAGGAGTGCCGTGGTTGTTAGATGCAGCTCTGAGCGCATTCGTATTCGTCGCCAACTCTTTAAACAAATTGCGCAAGGTGCGCATTTCCGACTTCAATTTTTCCGCTTCCTTGCTGATTTTTATGAACTGCGCCCGGTTCTGGTAAACACTTTGCTGCAAATCCGCTGCTGCCCTGCTCTTTAACTTGCGCAATGCAGTCTCGTAGTCTCTAATCTCATCTTCAGTAGCCTCGCTAAGGATATTGGCGACATATTGATCGGGGACGAGTCTCGGGTCTCTCAGTGCCTTCGGGTCTACGGTTGGAGGCACGCCCCTAGATAAACCGGCACCTGGACCATCACGCGACGGGGGTTGTCGAGACCGCGATGCCTGCTGATCGTATTTGGAGATATCGAAGGTGGGCATAGAAGGGACTGGGGGAGCACTTGGGTCGAAATCACTTGGGAGATTATTGAACCGGGTTGAATATCGTCGCTTGACAAGGTCGCCAGTCTGAGGATCACAGTTAGTAAGTTGAACAAAGCTATATATAATATTATATATAATATAGGAGCATTTCGGCATACCTTTCCACCAGTTGCGGGAGGTTGTCGCTGTCGGGGTGGCGGTGGGTTGCTGGCCCCAACTCTCCCTTCGGCGGCACGAGGAACTGGAACGCCATCATTTGGAATAGGATCCGAGATTTGACGAGGCGCGCTGATAGTAGGACGACCCTTCCTCTTAGGACCGCTGCGGAGCGAGATCTTACTCCTTTCTTCAGACATGGTGGGCGCTTAGGTCAAGATCGAATAGGGAGGAAATAGAGGTAGTAACGTAATTAGATAGGAATCATTCAGCGTTATAGGTATTACATATATCATTCAATGCGGTAGCTAGCGATCCATCAAGGACCAGCTTGAAATGAGGAATGAGCGACAAATGATGAATTGAAGTTATTCTTAAAACATTCTCATAAGCAGTTAAGAAGTTGAAGTTCGAGGGGGGCGGACGCGGCTGAGGCTGAGCACAGACGATGCATCCATTCAATTGCTTCATACCTTAGGTAAGGTAAGTACCTAACCTAGGTTAATGGCATACCTATGCTGTTATGCGATATGTCTAGGTTAGGTAATCGGCCTGATCGGTCGGATTTATTTGACGGCGGGATGCGGGATGCACTAATCCATGTTCATGGTTAGCGCCGTACTTGATAACAAGGATCCGAGGCTGAACCGCGATTGCATGTCACGGCATCGAAGTTAGGTACGGAATACAAGGTGCATTGAAAAAAAATTACCGAAGAGAGGCTGCTTTACTTTTAAGTCCCAGCTTTAAGACATTGCATTGCACTCAACGACCTCTCCTACGAAGCAACTCTACCGAGCTTCAGCTATTTACGTCGCATAATTAGACAGGAGGAAATTAGTCAAATATTTGGCCTATATTTATATTAATACTATTTGGTTCATACCTTCACCCGCCAGTCGAGTTAATTGGTGCCCCTCCTCCAAACCTGTTTTCCCGGCCCTCAAATCGTCACATCCATCAAAATGGTCCAAACGAGTACCGCATTAACGATATCCGCCGCCACAGCCGCGACAGGCCTCCTAGGTAAACCATTATATACTAATTCCTATGTCTTCATTGCCGGCTATAGAATCCTACCAGCTACTTTCTCGTTGGGCTCACGACTAATAATGTCCAACAGCCTATGCGATCTACTTCGACTACCAACGTCGTGCAGACCCCAACTTCCGACGAAACTTGCGGCGGGAAGAACGACGACAAGCGCGCGCAGAGAAGGAAGAGGCTGTATTGCAGACTAAGCAGAAGCGCAAAGACATTCAGAAGGCTATCGATCAAGCTACAGAAGAGGGCTTCCCCACCGGTGTCAATGAGAAGGAACAGTTCTTCATGGACCATGTCCAGAAGGGTGAACTACTCGCTGCCGACCGTAAGTCACATGCGCATCGCATAGCATACAACCTCAGTATACGTTGTTGTGTCGAGAAAGCTTGGAGGAAGCTATTCCCAAGACAAAAGAGTGCTATGCTAACCCATCGCGAACCGATAGCATCAAACACACTAGAAGCCGCACTAGCATTCTACAAGGCTCTCAAGGTATACCCGACTCCCGGGGACCTGATTTCCATCTACGACAAGACTGTCGACAAGGTAAGGAGACCTCGCTTATACGAGCGCATCCCGCACCGAACCACGAGCACCCCTGCTAACTCTCCCACCAGCGTGTACTAGACGTCCTAGCCGAAATGATCGCATACGACAAGAACCTCGACCTAAGCGGCGGCATCAACCTCCCCGATCTGCCCAGCGCCGGTCTGGACTAGTATTCCATCTCTAGGCTTCAGCGCTCTAACCCTCCACTCCCCGTCACCTTCAAATATATCTTTGGAAACGGCCCGGTTTTGCTCCCTGCTGCAGACGAGGTTGGTTGAAAAAATATAATAAAACACCGTCTGCCTACGAGAAAGCCCTGAGCATCGGATTAAAAAAGACGACCCAGGTACTATATACACAAACAAACAAACACACACACACACACACAAACGCGCATGGATACCTTGTATGATATATGATCCGGCGCGGCCGGCTGGGTGGCTGCTGGCCGTAGGCTGCCGGTTATTCCGCTTTAGAATAAGGGTGGCTACGCTGTACATTTTCATGATAATGTCTGGTGGCCGGTATAGACAAACTATGGATCATGATTCCTCCTATTATGCGATTGCTCAAGCCCCCGTGTATAAATAAGTACTACTTCAACTGTGATGATAAATAGCTATCTACCCTAGGTTAGGAGACTTCGATCTTCCTGCCTTTGCGATCGACTCTCACATCCCGTGGGTCGAAGCCACCATTGCCCCAGGTAGCCCACTCTGGCGTCTCGGGTCCCATATACTCTTCCGGCATCCAGTCGCCATCTGCGCCCCTCTCCTCGAGTAGCTCGAAGAAGCGCTGATAATCAATCCTAGTATGCCATTTTCCATCCACCCTAAAGCGCTCGCTAGCAATGAGTACGCAGCAGCTATGCGCATGCTCAGCCGCGATACCGTACTCTAGCCCGCGCTCGCGGAGCTTCTTGTCCAAGGCCGTGACGAACTCGGTGACCTCAGCATAGAAGGGCACATTGGCCATGCTCAGACCCGCGCCGGCGCTGCTAGAGGTGCCACAGTATGTAACACCCTTAATCTCGACGAAGCAGGGCAAGCCCTTCTCAACAAGATCCGCATAGCCCTCAACCTCGTCCTCGACGTTGAAGCCCTTGACGAGGGTCAGCCGGAACACGGTGCGCTGGCGGAAGCGTTTCTCGCGCAGGATATCGAGGCAGCGCTGGAAGCGCTCCCAGAAGTCACGGTGTAGCGGCCGGTCGATCTTGCGCAGAGACTCCTTGTTGCTAGCATCGATAGACACGTATAGCTGTGTGACGGCCTTGAGGGCGGCGAGCTGCTCCGGGTGCTGGGCATTGCAGACGAGGAATGAGGAGATGCGCTCGCCGTGTAGCAATGCTAGGAATTCATTGATGTGCGGGTAGAAGATGGGTTCGCCAACCAGGCTCAGCGCGCAGTGCCGTATGCGCATCGCTTCGGCGAACCGCTCGGCCCTGACGCCGGGGACTCCGCGCAGCATTTTGATTTTCTGGTAGTGCCCAGCCTTGACACCGTCGAAGATCATCTCGGGCGGGTCGACAACCCAGCGCCAAGTAGTTCCGACGGGATTCGTTCCGTGTCGCCAGCAGAAGACGCACTTGTTGGAGCATGATAATGATGGTGTGGTCTCCATGCACTGATGCGACGCGATGCCATAGAATGAAAACTTATAGCAAGAGCCGCGTCCACGCAGCGCCGACTTAGTCCATCTGCAGATCTTGACCCCTGAGTGCGAACCTACGATGGAATAACCCTGCTTAGTCAAAGAGGCGTACGTAGGCGAGTTCTTAGGTACCATTTCCTTGACAGTTTGAGGTGGTCTCTTCGATTTTGGCTTGTTGTATGTAGTAAAGTCCACGGCGATTGGTGCAGAGTTGTTGGATGCTTCTGGATCATTTCGAGAAGTCTTCATGATCCTCCCGAGATCTTCGACATCATCAATGTTTCCCGAACGCCCCCTTTTCGGTTTATTTATCGCCGCTGTTTGGTCAATTTCGACTTCTCCATCGTCATCCCCAGAGCCGTATTCGTCTTCGCTTTCTACATCATTTCCGCTACCGGGTACTCCATCTCCTAGAGATCCTGTACGGGCGACATGTTTCAAGATGTCTATTACGCCATCGGTCCATTCGCTAAGTCTTTCTTTAAGATCTCGTTTCGTATCTGCCATTCCTAAGGGGTAGGCTCTCTTACGGCTCGTAAGCCTAGCCATCCATTTATCAACCTCCTTAGCTTGAAAGCAAAACCCTTCTTCTTCAGTAGGCCATCCCTCTCGATCACCTAGACCAAATACAGAGTAGCCAAGTAGACCAGATAGTGGCGCGGTATCGATTCTGAAGTCATGGTGTGTTTCTGTCAGATGCTCAAGCAAATTGTCGTTGATGGAATCGATATTGTAGCTGGGTACCAGAAAGAGGTAGAAGTAATCTGTGGGCGTGTTGCTGTCTGCTGGTTTCGGTGGACTGATGAAATATTCGTCGTAATCCACTTGGGCTAAATCTAGGACAAGAGGATCTAAGAAAGACCTCTCGGAACCGTCGACCTTCTCTCTTAACAAGGCCCCGAGAGTCTGGGCGATCCCACTGACAGTCCTCTCTGTACTTCCGGTCAAGGACGAGTAAAATACGAGTGTCTGTACTGGTGTTTTAGACTCTTCGTTCTTGCGCGCGGTATCTGTTTTTCGTAGCTCGCCTTTGATACGTCGCGGTCCGGTCGTAGGTTCTTTCACCTTTTCTCTCGGCAAGCTAACCTTTTCTTCTGGAATCTTAGTATCGTCGCCCGTGATAGGTTTTGTGATAGGTTTTGTGATTTGTTGATCTAATTTTAAAGTATCTGTAGGAATCTTCGATTTCTGTCGCAACTCTATGTATAACCAAAGTACTGTTAAAATACCAGTTGTCGCAAAGAGTATCGCGGGTCGGTGGTCATGCCATACTTCAAGAATACCTAATGAAATGTAAGCAAAAGTTTACATAAATATGTAGTTCTACATCAACATGCTCATTCTTACCCTGTACCGACCCATTTACATCTGAGCCAAACTCCCCTATTCTGCTCGTCATCTTTGGCCGCAGTTATTACGAAATTTCCCTATCCAACATCGAAGTTTGAAAAGTTCGCGGGGCAAACATCGCAATTGCATGGAATTTTAGAGGGGCATTAGCTAAGTTGATATGTACCTAGCTAAGTTGATAAGCTGATAAGTTGATAGCCCCGCAGTACCCCAGATTTTCGAATGTATTTGTAACTTGTAGGTACTTCATACATGTCCCTAAACCAATGATATCGATAACGATTTCAATAACTACAAGGTACTTAAATGCCATCACAGAGACGAGACGAAATATCATACGGGATGATCTAGCGTAAAATAGCATTTTGAAGCCATCTAGGTAGTAAGTCGAGATCACACATAGTCAATTCATTGACTGCAAGTAACGTTGCAAGTAAGTTATCTTACAAGAACAAGGAAGATTCCAATGCGATTTCCGACTTGAATAGCTTCAGTTGTTTTTACTCGAGCACATGAAAACATAACGTCATCCCTTCCTATTTCTGGTATCTTGTGATCAAACCTCAACATGTCTTCCCTGGTTTCAGTATTTCTCATTTCGTTCATAGAATCTGTCAGACACACACGAAGGTTTCTCTGTACTTTTGGCTCAGACCTATTAAGCATCTGGGTCGCTCGAATGCTTGCCTTCGTCATAGTCCACACCTACTAGCAAACCGTCCATCATACCTATGTAAAGGTCTCTGGCCCAGCAGATGGTAGCCATAATTGCTAAGGCGTTCCATTGATACTGGTTCTCTTCCGACAGGTTCAGCCGGCACGGAATATGGCAGACAGCATCTGGGTTCTGGGCGTCCATTGTAACGATGAACACAATATGTTTGAAAATAACGAAACAAAAGATTACGGGCGCTTCTGGCCGTGCTTCTCCAGGCATAAGGGCCAGCTTATCTCGCCACCACGTAGCTAGCTTCGTCATTTCGGTTTGGATGACTACGTCCATGTCTGATTTGTTTTCGTCATTCATCTCTAGTATCACAATATTGGGCTCGAAATCACGGCGATATTTTCTGATATTTCCGTCGGTTATGGACCATCGTAAGGCCTGCTCGAGTGTTTGCTTAATATGATTAACAAGTCTGCGTCCACATCTATTCTTATGTTGCTCATCCGGATGTGACCTTTGCGCCCTTCGGAGATCGCGAACTCGTCCATGAATATCCATCAGCTTGCGAAGTGCTGTAGCACCTGTAAAGTATGAGTATCGATGTTTACATTGGCGTTATTAATATTAACGTACCTTGATATTCTAGCTTATCTGTGCGCGCGTATATTCTTGGCCGAGTACTTACAGCATGGGTTTTGATGTAGAACAAGCCTTCGGGTAGAGGAACGCCTCGAAAGTGCATTCTCCAGGTCGTCGGCATTAAAGTGTATTCATCTCGCGCCTTTAAAACCTGGTTGAGGAAAACCTGTTCATAGCGCCATCCTCCTTTTGGTGCGTGGTCCCGAGTTGTCCCTTCACCAATAGAAGACTCGACCGGATTGCTTTGATGGGACGTGTCACTCTGCGACTCATCTGTCTCTGTTGTCTCTTGTACAGTATTATTCAGATGGCTCGAAGTGTTTTCCGCGGTATGCACTAAGAGTTCATCCACTTCGCTGCCTTCGCTGTCTCCTTCATATTCGAGAGCTACCTCAATGGAGTCCTGGATATCCTCATTAAGCTCGCCGTCTTCTTCGATTAGTTGGCTCGCTTGCGCCCCCGTAGCGAGAGCTTCAATCGTATCGTCTTCATCTTTGATAATAGCTGGTCGTCCATGTGGTTTCTCTTTGTTAGAGACAGGTTTGGTAATACGGCCGCAAATAACCTTGTCTGCCTGTGAATTGTCATGTGTTTTGGCATTACTGATAGAGCTGCTTTTGGGTGCCTTGCGTGAATACCAACTGTGGGAACCAGTCATATTGATGGTCTACAACAAGCTTCTGCGAAGCCGTAGTAAAATCGGTAAGAGAATATAATGAAAGTTGCGTGAGTTGTGAATATAACTAGACTAACCGGTACGGCCATCTAGCTGAATTTCTCACGGTGATAGAGTCAAAGACAGGGCAACACTAATGACCGACCAAGGAGGATTCACGGATTATTCATGTCTTGCACATAGCGCTAATGCCGTCTTTGGCCAAGTTGACAGCGCCGAATTATGATAATAATAATTATAGTGGCGTGGAGAGTGCAGGTATGAAATGTGAAATATGAGGATATAACTTGGGCTGTTTGTTTCCGGCAAGCTTGTGACTGGTAACATACCTCTCTAAAATGTCTCTACCCGTTGCTTACGGCCATTTCAAGAATTGTTAGGTAGGTACCTAACATATGCAGCTAAACTTACATTTGTTTTACTTTTCTAATAGATAGGTATTGAATGAGAGGAAGTCGCGCCACGTTTCTATGAGCGGCTGTAGGTAGGTTAGATGGAAGGTTGTACCTAGCCTGTTGAACAGGATTTAGCTTAAGATACATATAGGTGAGGTTTGCACAACATGTACAATACATACATACTTAAGCTTCAATCCCGACGCGCTAGTCCTAGAGTAGTATGGTGCATGTTTCCATAGGGATAGGTCCAATTAAAAAAGGAGGCTACCTAACCTTACCAGGCACCTATGATGTTATGTGCCACCTGCACTTAAAGCTCCTATGAAGCTCTGGGCACTGACAGCTGGAATTCAACTGTTCGCCTGATTTTGAAATTTTGTCTGCAAGACCGCGACACACGCGACGCCCAACTTAGTTTGCATTAAACCCAATGCCATATTCAAGATCACTTTGCACACCTCTTCAAATCTTCTCGTAAACATACCAACTTTTAAGAACAGCATCACCTGAATACTGTATCTGTTTTCACTACACTATTGATGACTGGTTCCGGCCTTTTCTAATTTGCGGTTTTCAACTCTTTGTTCGCAGCTACTTTTTACCATCATCCTCATCCTCATCCTTATCCTCATCCTTTCTATCGACCCCCGACTATAGACACACCGCGCTTCTAACTCTCAAACGCCCTTTTTGTTTTCTATGAAGATTTGTATCAAGGCAATGTGCAATTTTTCATAGATCTATTTTATTACAATATGGCTACAGATTGGAACAAGCTGAAGGTCGTTGACCTAAAGTCGGAATTGAAGCGCCTTGGTCTACCGCAGAATGGCCTTAAGGCGGACTTGGTAGCACGCCTAGAAGCTGCTGATTCTGAAAGAGCTGCTTCCCAATCTTCAGATGAAGCCCCTGAAGAGCCCGAGGCTATTAATGGAGAGGCACAACCGGTGGAGATAGCCCCTGAAGCAGCGGAAGCCCCAGAAGTAACGGAAGCTCCAGAAGTTTCCGAGTCAAGTCCTCCTGATGAATCTCCTAAGCAGTCCGAAGCCGAAGCCGAAGCTGTACCAGCGCAGGAAGTATCCGCACCCGCCGTTACTGAGACGCAAGCCGCTCTAGAATCATCGGCCAGCGAGACGCCGCTACAAGTTACCGAACTAATACAGGATTCACAAAAGCGAAAGCGAAGATCTCTAAGTCCTGCTCCATCCGCCGACGGAGTAGCGCATAAGAGAGCTAGACAAGAGAGTCGAGATAGCCAGGAAGATCGCGTCGCAAGCTCGACCGAAGAAAAAGTTGATGCAGTGGTAGAACCTCAGGAAGAAAAGAAGGAGAGTGTAACCCAGACTCCCCCCGATATCGAGATGGAGGGCGTCCAGGATGAAGTGCCAATCGAGCGCGAACACAGCAACGGTGTCGTTCAGTCGACACCGACAGATGATGCTAACCCCGACGTTCAAAATGGACATGCTGTAGAAGTGGTAACGAACAAGACTCAGGCAATTTTCGAAACCCCCAAAGATGAGCCTTCTCGAGAACAACAACCTTATACCGCACACCCGGCTGAGATAGAACGAGACGTAGAGCCGTCCATCCACCCCGCAACCTCTGCACTGTACATTAAGGACTTTATGAGACCTCTTCGACTGCAGACAGTCAAGGACCACCTGTTAGACCTCGCTACGCCGATGGGTGCTCCCATCGAAGAAGGTACTATTGTTGATTTCTATCTTGACACTATCCGAACACACGCGTTTGTCGTGTTCAACACGATCTCATCTGCCTCAAGGGTACGTACCGCACTTCACAACCGCGTCTGGCCCGACGAAACCAACCGCAAGGCTTTGTGGGTTGACTTCATTCCGTCAGAGCGCTTCGCGGAGTGGGTTGATATGGAGCAGACATCCACCGGAGGGCGCGGTTCGACCAATCGCTACGAGGTCATGTATGACAACGATGAAGACGGTAACGTAATTGTCAAACTTGAAGAATTCGACGGCGCCGGCCCTACTACAAAGCAAGCACCTCCAGCACCAGAACCTCAGCCCGAGCGCAAACCTTCCATTCCCACCGGCCCTTCCCGACCATTCCCGGGCGTTGAAGGCGCGCCCACAGGCCCACGCAATTTCAATTCCGCCCGTGCACCCGCATCGCATCCGAGCAGAGCGGGAAGACTAGAACAGCCCGGTCAATCGACGAACGCGTGCCCTAGCGTTACATACCAGCCCGTTCCAGACGAGCTGGTCAGACGACGACTTGACACGATCGCAGCAGCTAAGACCAAGGATTTCGATCGAGACTTCGGCAAGGAGTACAAGCGCTACTACTTCGAGAACGGCGAGACGCTCGTCGACAGAGGCCCAGAGATTTTCCTTGGCATCCGCCCGCCGCACAGGGAGCGCGAGCGCCAGCGCGAGCGCGAGCAGAGACGTGAGCCGGTACGTGAGCCGGCACGCGAACCAGCCCGCGAACCCGGGCGTGGTCGCCGAGGCAGCGGTGGCAAACGACGTGGCGGCATGCCCATCTTCCACGGCGTCCCTCGAGGCGGCGATCGATTTCGACCCGGAGACTCCTCGGCATCCGGCCCCAACGGACGCTCGCGATACGCCGACGACAGAGGGAGCCGCCGCGACGGCCACGGCCACGGCCGAGATAGGCCAAGTCGACGAGATAACTACAGCCGTTACTAAACTAACCCGCTAAGGAGACAGACTCGAGGTTGAACGGCCAAGTGAGTTACGTGAGTTATTGCTGGTTTGCTAAATACGTGAGAGTGCCTGTATATGAAAACGAGATGATCAAGCCAGAAGCGTTACCACGCGTGAGAGCATTCGCAGAAAGTCTATTAAAAAAAAAAAGTAAAGGTCTAAAGCATTTACGGAGTACAGAGAGAAAGCACATACGGAAACAGCATCGCAAAGGCAGAACGGGACGGACGCATCGGCGCATTTGTATAAGGAGGCAGGGAAGGAAGGATACCCAGTCCGAGAGCAAGCAAGTTAGCAAAGCAAAGCAAAGCAAAGCAAAGCAAAGCCCGGCCCAGCCCTATGGGCGAATGGCATCACGAGTTACTACAAGACAGACGGGCGCCTAGCTATGTAGGTAGTATAGGCAAATGCGCAAGGCGCGTGCTAATAGAGGACGTTTCATTCCGAAAAGAACAAAAGCAAATTGAAGCCGATGGCGTAACCTATGTATCATTACCCTTTCTTCCCCCGATTTCGTGAAGAATATTCCCAACTAACCAGATAAGTACTTCCTAACGTAGCTCTAGCCAATACGCACCCCAAAGCCCATCGGTGATACCGCCTACTCCCATATAGCGAATAGATGAAGACTCCCGCAAAGGACCAGGCAGGCACATAGTGAGAGTATTTATTCTAGGTAGGCAATCATGTGTAGCCCGCTTCTATGTTATAATCCAGGAGCAACCTCCTCCCTAATTCAATACCAACGATCTCGAAAGCCCACATCAGCGTACGTTCGAGAGTTACTGCGCTTTCCGGTCGCATGTATATGCCTTTGGAAGTCATGCTGTGACCTATTAACTCTTTTCTTTTCCTGCCTCGGGTCGACTCTAGTTCCTTATTGATATCCTGGTGGTACCGGTTATGTTGCGGCCTGGACGATAAAAGGGGTTAGGTTAGTCCCGAATGAAATATAAATACGGGGGCATCATTATAGTAGAAAGATATGAGGCAGCAAGGGGGGTTGCTTGTAGTTAGAGATGTAGGTAAGACAAGGCAAGGTAAGGTACATACATGTAAGGTAGTCGGATGAATAACGTACAAGGCAATCTGCCAGAAAATACGCATAGCTCCGCCAGTACTCCCCGTTCCCACCATCGCCCCATACCGCTTCTTTGTACTTGAAGCCCAAGAAGCGATTTTCATATGCCACCATAAAGGGCAGAGCCAAATACAGACACACGTTGAGGCGGCTTTGTATGGATTTCAAATGCCGTAGCGAGGCGATCTTGCTTCCCGGGGGTACCCAGCCGATCGTATTGTAGCACTCAGCGCGGCAACGATTGATGACGCTTAAGGCTGGGAGACTCGATGGGCCGGAGTATGTATAGGGTGCCCCGGTCCGGGGGCAGTGCGCACAGGGGTTCATATTCTAGTAATTTGGTTTCAACCAGCTCTTTTTCGTCGGATCCCAACTGGGCGAGGGGAGTTGGAACTGCCTATTGAGGCGTCAAAGAAAAGGTCCATTATCTAGAAATATACGTATCTATGAAGCGACTGCACTACCTGAAGATAGACGATAAAGTGCCAGTGACAGTGTAGAGTATAAATAAGAGCTCATAAATATATGCAACTATTATTAGTTGTAACCTACTAATATTATATTAGTAATATATTACCTACCTAGGTAGGTAGGTAAGGTACTTAGTGGGAAGTGCTAACAACTTTATGTACTTACATGCTCTCTCCTCAAGTCACTCTGCTATATACGAGACGAGAAGAAACAGAGGTGAAACCTAACATAACTGTATCGTAGGAAGGAGTTACTTGTACCTAGGTATGTAAGGTACTATTAGGCATAATAGGTAGGTAGGTAGGTAGGTACGTTCTAGACTATATATCTCCTATTTCATCTATTCCATTTTACACCCTCACTCGTTACAAGGAGACATGAATAAATCAAGTACAATGCATTTCGCCATTTTATTTTGTTTTTAATTTGAAATACATCAACTCCTTTGTGACACAATCCTGACCCAATCGGTCCCTAATAAATCAAAAGGATACCCATGTATACCCCTACCAAAAACGGCCTCTCTAAGCAGCGCTAGCCAGAGGCTCCGGTTGAACACCAACGCGTTCCTTGCTTAGAATGTCAAGCATGAACTGGGTCGGCCTGTTATCCTTGTAAACAGCCTGGCACGCCTTGAAGGCCATCACATCTTCAATGTACTTGTCGAAGAGGTAAGAGCTATCCATTGGGCCGCCCCTGGCTTCGGGGTGGAACTGGGTTGAGAAAATTGGTCGGGAGATGTGGCGCATGCCTATAGCATCGTATTAGTAACTTGCAGACAATTTGATGCCTCTAATAAAAAAGATCATACCTTCATTACTACCGTCGTTAAGGTTAACGAAATACTCCTTCCATTCGCTACTCAGCGTGCTAGCATCGACAGCGTAGCCGTGGTTCTGGCTGGTGATGTGGCACTGCCCGGTTGTCATATCTAGAGCCGGGATGTTGTGTGCCCGGTTACCATACTTCAGCTTGATAGTTCGGGCTCCAGTAGCTAGAGCCAGTAGCTGGTGGCCCAAGCAGATACCCATAATGGGTACTTGGGAGGTTTCCATCAGCACGTTGAGGTTGTGTACGGTAGCTTGGCAATGGGTCGGATCACCAGGGCCGTTAGAAATGAATACACCGTCAAAATTGTCGGCGACCTTCTGAATCTTGAAATCGTACGGGAACACCGTTACGCTAGCCCCACGGCTCACCAAACTCCGGAGAATGTTCTCCTTGACACCACAGTCAAGTAACGCGATATGATACTTGGGGTTGTGGGCCTCCACAACAAAGGGGGCCTTGGTACTAACCCGCTTCACAAGGTTAATCTGGCCGGGATCCACGAAACTTTCGTCTTCGTCTGCGTCGTATTCATCGCCAACAGAGATCCTAGCGAGGGAAGAGCCCTGCTCTCGTAGGTGAGTGACGATGGCACGAGTATCGACACCCGAGATAGCCGGAATACCCTCTCGGGCACACCAGTCACCCAAACTCTCCACCGCGGTCCAGTGGCTGTATTTCTCGGCGAAATCGGCGACGACAATTCCTGCGCACTGAATATGAGGAGACTCGAAGTGCCTCAACAGGTTCCACTGGTCACGCTCGTTAGAGGGAACGCCGTAGTTTCCAATCAATGGCTGAGTGAAGACGAGAATCTGGCCTCGGTACGAGGGATCGGTCATCGACTCCGGGTAACCGACAAGAGAAGTCGTAAAGACGGCCTCGCCAGAGATGTTAGAATTGGCTCCGAAAGCCGTTCCGTGGAAAATAGGCCCATCCTTTTCCTCCGTCAGCATATAGTGATCGTCAAGGTCAACCGTAGTTGCAACGTACTCGGAGAGTGAGTGTAGCCTCCATGCCGGAAGCAGGCTTCGTAGCCCGGGATAAGGTCTGAGGCATCTGCCTGCCCGTACTACCTTGGATAGACTGGGCCGCAAAGTTGCCGGTGGTGGAGAGGAATCGGGCCCGTGCCGAGAGGCCAGCGGCACCGAATGCTGCAGGCTTCGCAGCCTTGAGGGCTAGTCGTGAGAACATGATGTTCTAAAGTGGTAAATTAAAGGTTCGAGCTAATGAGGTTATTCAATGGCCTCCTTTAAGCGGAGAGAGCCCGCCACAAGTGGTCTAGATATATGTTAGTCTCGAAAGCGGTGAGTCAGATTCGTGAAGTGAAACGAACCAGAGATATAATCCTGTGATGATATAGTTAGCAATTGCAATGGCTAAAGTGATGATAGAGAGATAAAATAGTATAAAACACGAAGGCATAGTATAAATGGGAGGGACAGTTAGAATGAGGTCATCTTTCATTGAACGTACCTGGGATGTGAAGACTGACGAGCGCCCGTTCATAAGGGCAACGTGGATAGTTCCAACCAGAAGAGGCAGGAGAAACAGAGGAAGACTCAATTGGAAGAAGAGAGGTTTAGAGGTTCTAAAGAATACCGATAGTAATAAGGCAGATTGGGGGAGTACTGTCAGTTTTTAAAAGGGGACCGGGGAAAGAAGGGAAAAAAGGTGTTTTCATAGCGGGGGACTAAGAATTCAAGGTTGTGCGATCTCTGACTGGTTTCCGAAATTCCCAAGCTAACCATGCAGTGCAGCCCCATATTTAACATTCAATAGTCCAATTAGATGTGTTGCATTTCTGTGTTACACACTGTAAAACAGGTGCAGCTACCTTATCTCTAGGTACATACATTGGCTTGCCATGGCCCGCCAGACGGAAGTGTGAAGAAAATTTACTATAGGCCGTTTTCGGCCTATCAACGGCCTCAACGCCCTGACGTAGACCGGATACTATCTACAGCAAAGAAAGGCCAAAATAGCGGTTACTAACTTCGGATAGTGAGTGTACGTATGCAGTTAAACTGGATCAATCAAATCACGACAATTCTTTTACTTTTACTATAAGATAGGTACCTATATTATAATTTTTTCACACATGTAAGACTTCGTGGCGATGTTGACTTTGCCGTGTTATAATCGCTAACCTAGTAGTATGCAAATGCTGCAACTTCAACTGCATTAAAATGACAACATTTCGGTAGTACATATTAGTCAGATCCAATGCATCTCTAACCTCTCCCTTAAGCCACGCAGATTAATAAATTAGCCATGTGCCCTGGGCAATCTGTACACAAAACCAGTCCCTTGCGATTGGCTCTTGTTATTGTGAAACCCCCAATGCTTTCGTTATATGAGTGCGGAAGGACATTATTGGCTCTACTAATACACCGACCAATAAGTTAGCTCAACACTTACAAACACCATGTGTGGAACTGCAACATTATTTTCCTCCTTACCATACCGAGGATCCGATAGAAACAACTCCCCGAGAGGCCATACCTATTACATGTAGTATTGAAAGAGAGGGGGTTTATATGCTAGTGTATTTGTAGATTTTATAAAATTGAGTTACATGATTCTGGTTTCTAGGTAGTTGTCTCGATTAAACAGATCTTCATTTACCATAATAACCAAGAAGCTCTCAACAATATAATAACCATCTAGACGTGAAAACTATTGAAGTCTAGCTTTTTCCGTGGCCCCTCTATCAGACACGAAAACCGTAGGGCTGGCTTCATTCGTCATAGAAATAAAATATCCCATATCTACGTTTAAGCTTCATCGTGGCTTATATGAAATTTGACTGGCCATGAAGCCATTCTCTCTATTCGTTCGTTATATCGCTCCCAGCTCCTTCAACTTCGAAATCAACCCATCCACATCCTCAACCTTGCCGCCACCTTCTCTCGGCGGCGGTTCTGTAATGAAAAAAGTTAGTACAGATTATAAGAAGAAAGTCTAAGACAACATAATGGTAAAAAAATAAAAATAAAAATTTTCGTACCTGTAACTTTAACAATCTTAAGTCGTCTCTCATTCGAAATGCCTAAATCACTCAAGCTCATCTTGACAAGCGGCTTCTTCTTCGCCTTCATGATATTCTGCAAGTTCGCATAGCGGGGCTCGTTCAGGCGCAAATCCGTCGTGATAACCATCGGTAATTTCGCGCGCACCGTCTCCGCGCCGCCGTCAACCTCCTTTGTGACCTCGACCGTATCGCCAGCGCCAAACTTGACCTTGCTAGCCTGCGTAGCCTGGGGCCAGCCCAGCAGTCCCGCCAGCATCTGGCCCGTCTGCGCCGCGTCGTCGTCGATGCTCTGCTTGCCGAGGATGACCAGGTTGCTCTTCTCCTTATCGACAACGGCCTTGAGCAGCTTGGCTACGCTGAGAGGCTCTAGGTCCTCGCCCTCCTTGACGTCTACGTGGATGGCGCGGTCTGCGCCCATCGCCATCGCCGTGCGCAGCACGTCCGCGGCCTTCGGGGGGCCCGCCGAGATCACGCAGATGTCTTCGACGCCGCCCGGCGCTGACTTCTTCTCGCGGATCCGCACCGACTCCTCGACTGAAAGCTCGTCGAACGGGTTCATAGAGTGCTTGACGCCAGCCGTTTCGACGCCCGTCTGCGCCTTGTTGACACGGGGTTTGACCTGCGGATAAGGAACACGACCATTAGCTTATCCCCTCGTTCCATTTTTGCCCTTATGTGTACGGTTCTTACCGCATAGTCAATTACCCGCTTTATGGGCACGAGAATGCGTAATGCTGACATGGCGAGTTCGCAGCTTTGCTAGCTATCTCTATATAAGAAAGCGAAGGGAGAAGTGAAAGTCTAAGTAACCGAGCTTATGTCTCTTGTTGGATTCAATGCTTCGGCTAACCTTAATTGAAGCTCCGTTCAATGACGCAGGAAAATCCGCGACCGAGACCGGCGATAGCCGCGCTTCTACTATTAAAAACCTCGGCCAAAGAGGCCCCACATGATTATCTACCTACATACTTGTAAATAACCTCCTTAGGATAAATATATTCTATTATGAATTATTTAGCACGGTTGGTTCTACTTTGGTAATAGGTAGGCACCTGTTACTCGGATACTGCCGCAATAAAAGAATATTTGCACCCTTTATATTGATTCTAATACATAGATGTGTATATATACGCTACCCAGAACTCCATTTGGCATACCAGGTAATTGTACAGCATGGCATCGTGTCCGTCGTCTATAGGTATAATCGCACACCCCGATACCTGTGCAGTCTCTTCATTTAGACTTGAGACCTGGGTAGTATAAACTGACAATCCCCGCCCGGCCACTACCAGTCGTCCCATTCGTCATCCTTCTTGGTCGCTGCCGGCGCATTCTTATTTCCTCCTCTTCCCATGGCTGAAGTTCCGACCGAGCTATACTTAGGCCCGGTACCATGCCGTTGATCCGCGGCGGCGGCGAAGTCGTCCCAGAATGCCTTCTTACTCTCGTCTATCGGGGCTTG